TCCTTTCTGGCCTGCAAAGTTTCTTTTGAGAAATCAGCTGGCAGTCTTGTGGGAGCTCCTTTGTAGGTAATGAACTGCTTTTCTCTTGCTGCTTTTAAGATTCTCCCTTTGTCTTTAACCTTGGGCATTTATTTATTTATTTATTTATTTTTATCCTCACCCGAGGATATTTTTCCATTTTTTGTACAGATAGAGTGAGAGGGAGAGAGAGGAAGGGAGAGAGAGAGAGAAACATCGATGTGAAGGGACACATCGAGTGACTGCCACCCACACAACCAACCAGGGCCGGGGACAAACTGCAACCGAAGTACGTGCCCTTAGCGGGAACCGAACCCGGGCCTCTCTGGACCGCAGGCCGATGCTCTAACCGCTGAGCCAAACTGGCCAGGGCTAACCTTGGGCATTTAAATGATGATGTGTCTTGGTGTGGACCTCTTTGAGTTCATCTTGTTTGGGACTCTCTGTTCTTCCTGGACTTGTATGTCTGTTTCCTTTACCAAGTTAGGGAAGTTTTCTGTCATTATTGTTTCAAATAGGTTTTCAATTTCTTGCTCTCTCTCTCTCCTTCTGGCACCCCTATGAAGTGAATGTTGGCACGCTTGAAATTGTCCCAGAGGCTTCTTACACTATCTTCATTTGTTTGGATTCTTTTTTCTATTTGTTGTTCTGATTGGGTGTTTTTTGCTTCCTTATATTCCAAATCGATGATTTGCTTCTTGGCTTTACCTACCCTACTATTGATTCCCTGTAAATTATTCTTTATTTCAGTTAGTGCATCCTTGATTTCTGACTGGTCCTTTTCTATGTTGTTGATATTCTCACTAAGTTCTTTAGAGGTCTCCTTAAGTTTCTTGAATTTCTCACCAAGTTCCTTGAGCACCCTTATAACCAGTGTTTTGAACTCTGCATCTGATTGATTGCTTATCTCCATTTTGTTTAGTTCTTTTTCTGGAGTTTTGTTCTTTTCTTTTATTTGGGACATGTTTCTTGTCTCCTCATTTTGGTGCTTCCCTGTGATTGTTTCTATGTATTAGGTAGAGTTGCTATGTTTCCCAGGCTTCATAGGGTGGCCTATTGTTGTAGGTGTCCTGTAGGATCCAGTGGCACAGGCTCCCTGATCACCCTAGCTGGTCCCTTGAGGTGTGTACCCCTATTGTGGACTGTACACCCTTCTGTTGTAATTGAGCCTTGATTGCTGTTGGCATGTCAGTGGGAGGGATTTATTCAGGCTGATCAGCTGCAAGGACTGGCTGTGCCCACTGGCCACTGGCCTCTGACTGCCTTGGGAGGATCAGCTATGTAGGGGTCCCACCACACAGAGCAAGACTTACTTCATCAGGGTTCTGGTAACCACTGAGTCCACTCACTGAGTGTGTCACTTGTGGAGGTGGTTGGGTGGTGGTGTTTCAATGTAGTCTGAAGCTGTCCACTGGGTGTGTTGGCTCTGAGGCAGGGTCAGCCACTTGCCTGTGTTCTGTCTGGGGCCACCCAGCATAAGCTACAAAGTGATCTGCAGATGGCTGCTTCTTGTGCTGTGCTTGGAGGTGCCCAGGAAATGCCAAGTTATGAACCAGGGCTGGCTGCTTCTAGTGCCAGGCCTGGGGCCACTTAATGAGATGTATGGGGCTCACTGGGACCAGATGCTGCTTGTGTGAGAGATTTTAGAAAACTGAAGCAGGATCCTTGACAGGCCAATCCTATGGTAAAGCCTTTGGAAACAGCTTGGGTGGGCCCGGAAATTGGGTGGGGCGGGGCCTCAGGAAATCAATAGGGCACGGCAAACAGTGTGAGCCAGGTTGCTGGAGTCCCAGATATGGCGCCTGTCTGTGGTTCAGGGAAGGCCCCCTGTCTGTGATTCGGGGAAGGGCTCACCAAAGGAACAAAGGCCTCCGCCAGCACGTCTGTCTGCGAGAAAGCTGCCTGTATGTCTCTGGTGCCTTTCAAGCTGCCCCCGCCCCAGCTTAGAGGGAGCAAGTCCCAGTAAATTCATGCGCGGGCCCTTAAGAGGAGCTGCCTGGGGCTCCCTCAGCCTCAGCCTCCCTCAGCCTCAGTTCCTGCTGGTTTTTACAGCCAGAAGTTATGGGGACTTCTCTTCTTGGCACTGGAACCCTGAGCTGGGTGCCTTGTGTGGGACAGGAACCCCTCACTCCTCAGGGAGGACCTTCCCAGCCGAGGTGCCCTCCTGATTTTTGTCCGCCACACATGAGTGTGGAACCAGTCTCTCTGTGCCTCTGCCCCTCCTACCAGTCTCTGCTTTGATGTTGTAGTTGTAGGACTTCCATTCAGTTCGATTTCAGGTGGTTCTGAATGATGGTTGTGTTGTAGTTTAGTTGTAGTTTTGATGTGGTTGTGGGAGGAGGTAAGTACCGCATTTACCTATGCCACCATCTTGACTGGAATTCCTGACATAGTTTTTATTTCCATATACAGTTGGTTTATTTCTAGAAATTGAATTCCATTCCATTGGTTGATCTGTCTGTTTATGTTTTACTATTAATTTTAGTTTTAGAAACTTTTTATAGGTTTAATAACTGATGGAGCTAGCTGTCTTCTTGCTTCTTTTTTAGAAGGTTTTTCTATTCTTGTTTATTCTTTCTGTTGAATTTTGTAATCAATTTTCTAGCTCCAGAAAGTAACTTCAAGCATTTTACTACCATTATTTTATTTATTTATTTATCTTTAATCCTCACCGAAGGTTACTTTTTTTCTCATTTATCTTCAGACAGAGGGAGGGAGGGAGGGAGGAAGAGTAAGAGAGAGAGAGAGAGAGAGAGAGAGAGAGAGAAAGAGAAACATCGACGTGAGAGAGACTAATCGACTGGTTGCCTCCTGCATGACCCCAACCAGGGCCAGGACTGAACCACAACTGAGGTACGTGCCCTTGACCAGAATCAAACCCTCGACTTTTTGGTCCGTGGGCTAACGCTCTAACCGCTGAGCCAAACTGGCCAGGGCATTATTGTACTTTTTTTTTTTTTTTTTTATCTTCACCCGAGGACACTTCTCCATATTTTGTTCAGATAGAGTGTGAGGGGGAAAGAGAGAAACATCGACGTGAAAGGGACACATCGAGTGGTTGCCACTCGCACAACCCAACCTGGGCTGGGGACAAACCGCAACCGAGGTACATGCCCTTAGCGGGAACCGAACCCAGGTCTCTCTGGACCACAGGCTGACGCTCCAACCATTGAGCCAAACCAGCCAGGGCTATTTTACATTTTTAAATTTACAAAAGAAAAGGTAGTATTTTTATAGCATTGAGTTTTGCTGTCCAAGAACAAAGTATATATTTTTATCTGTTCACATCTATTATTTTGTCTTTTAGGAGTTAAAATATTCAGAGGTTTGAATATTTCTATCACCTGATATAACTTTAACATTATATTGTGGATTTTTTTTAGGCTTTATAGTCTTTTTTTAAATCTTGATCCTTATCCTTCTTAATATAATATTTCCTATTGTTTCTGTCACAATTTCTATAATAGGGAAGGAGTCTTGTGAGACACATGTGAGAGGTTCTCTAGATCTGTCTTGTACTACCTGGAAAAGAACCCTGATTTTGTTGGGTTATAGTTACTCTGGAGTAGATAGTCAGAAACCTACTTAAGTATAAGCACCTGTGCCTGATTGCTTGCAGACTGTTGTCAGTGAGTCAGCAGCCTACCAATAACACTTGGATTTGCTGTCTCTCTTGGATATTGTTGCCAGACATAGATTGTCCTTAAAAGTCAGGATGTTTTTCTTTGTTTTTGTTTTTGTTTTTTTATCCTCACCCGAGGACACTTTTTGATATTTTGTTCAGATAGAGTGGGAGGGAGGGAGGGAGGGAGGAAGGGAAGGAAGGAGGGAGAGAGAGAGAGAGAGAGAAAGAGAGAGAGAGAGAGAGAGAGAGAGAGAGAGAGAAACATCGATGTGAAAGGGACACATCGAGTGGCTTCCACCCGCACAACCCAACCAGGGCCGGGGACAAACCGCAACTGAGGTACATGCCCTTAGCGGGAACCAAACCCGGGTCTCGCGGGACCACAGGCCAATACTCTAACCACTGAGCCAAACCAGCCAGGGCAAGTCAGGATGTTTTATTAGCATGGGAAAGACATGAGAAAAGTGTGTAACTCTAGGATATCAGCTCTTGATACTTAGCATGCTGTAGGAGGAAATGCATGGGACATTGACACTTCCAAAGAGGACATATAACAGAAAAGTGACCTCTATCAGAATCCCCAAAAGATAAAGTCATTAAAAAAATTGAGTCAGCCCTGGCCGGTTTAGCTCAGCGGTTAGAGCGTCGACCCGCAGACCAGAGAGTCCCGGGTTCGGTTTCCGCTAAGGGCACGTACCTCAGTTGCAGTTTGTCCCTGGCCCCCGTTGGGGTTGTGTGGGTGGCAACCACTCAGCGTGTTTCTCTCGCATTGATGTTTCTCACTCTTTTTCTCTCTCTCTCCTGCTCTGTCTGAGAGATAAATGAAAAAAAAAAAATTGAGTCAGATTTTACATCACTAGTCTGAGAGAAGCTCTGTGATTTTTGTTTATAGTATATACAAAAAGTACACCTCTTTCCTCTGTATTTTGTGAGTCAGACACACACACACACACACACACACACACACACACACACACCCACCCCCCTCCCCTGTTTCCTGAGACTTGGTATTTGGTAAACTGATGGTAAAGATTAGTATTGAGCTTTCCTGTGTCTTCTGCCTTTTGCTGAGTACCTGACAAAGAAACTGTTGAGATGATTCGAAGTGTTTAGAAGGTCTAATTGTTGTATGTATAAGCTAATTTCTGACCACAAAATTGATCTTCTTTCTATGTTAGTACCAAGTCCTTTCGTCAACAATTTTCTACCCTACCCCCCATCAGGATTATTTTATAGGGAGGAAGGGCAGTGTGAAAGAAGTGATGGTTGGAGAATGAGTTGTGCAAAATCTGGGGAAGAAAATGCAGGGGTACCATTTCTTCTTAGAGCTGATTCTTTGTGTGGCCATCTTGTATAGATGGAGTTGTTTACGCCTGGGGCCACAATGGATACAGCCAGCTTGGGAATGGGACAACCAGCCAAGGCATTGCTCCCATCCAAGTCTGTACCAATCTCTTGATCAAGCAAGTGGTTGAAGTAGCTTGTGGCTCACATCATTCAGTGGCCTTGGCAGCAGATGGAGAGGTAAGTGCCTGGATTTTATTCTTTATTTTTTATTTTTTTATCCTCACCCAAGGATTTTTTTTTCCTATTTATTTTCACATAAAGTGGGAGGAAGGGAGAGAGAGAAACATCGATGTGAGAGAGACACATCGACTTGTTGCCTCCCACATAACCCAACCAGGGTGGGGGATGAACTGCAACTGAGGTAACATGCCCTTGACTGGAGTCGAACCAGGGACTCACTGGTCCACTGGCTGACACTCTAACTGCTGAGCCAAACTGGCCAGGGCTGTTCTTTATTTTTAAATTGTGGTAAAATACATGTAATATATACCATCTGAACCATTATAAGTGTACAGTTCAGTGCCATTAACTATATTCATATTGTTGTGTAACCATCACCACCATTTATCTACAGAACTCTTTTAATCATGCCAAACTGAAATTTTGTACCCATTAAACTTGAACTCTCCACTTCCTTTTCCCTGAGTCCCTTGCAATCACTCTGTATCTATGAATTTGACTATTCTAGGTGCCTCATATGAGTTAAATCATACATTTCCTTTTGACTACCTTATTTCACATAGCATAATGTCTTCAAGGTTTATCTGAGTGGTAGCATGTGTCAGAATTTTCTTTTTAAGACTAAATAATATTCCATAGTAAGTATATGCCACATTTTGTTTATTCAGTTATCTGTCAATGGATATTTGAGTTGTTTCTACCTTTTAACTATTGTGAAAGTGACTCCCTTTAAAAAAAATCAATAAAATAATGACCATATTGCACTTGGTGTAATGTGAAGTGTGAACATAGCCCTGTGTATGTACCAAAAAATGTAGGAACGGTTTTTTTTTCTTAACACATCCTATATTATGTGATCAAGGTTACCCTTTTGATGACTATACACTTTAGTCTTATGGAAGCTGAGTTTTGTGCTGTTTGCTAAGATTACAAATTCATTGACAGTGTTCTGTACTGTTTTTTGTTTTTTTTTTAAATTCTTTATTGATTTTAGAGAGAGAGGAAGGGAGAGGGAGAGAGAAAGAGACATCGATGAGAGAGAACATTGATTGGCTGCCTCCTGCATGCCCCCCACTGGGGATCAGGCCCACAACTTGGGCATGTGCTCTAACTGGGAATTGAACCTGTGACCTCTTGGTGCATGGGTCGATACTCAACCACTGAGCTACACTGGCTGGGCTCTGTACTGTTTTTTTAATGACCCCATCTCTTAAGATGTATTTTGTTTTTCAGTAAATGTAATGATGTCATAGAAAATAACATTATCAACATTCCAGTAGGAACTGTACCACTTGTTTACCCTACAAGTTCCAGGCTTATCTTAAAGCTTAATCATCCTATTGATTCTACTTTTAATCTCGTATCATTTTGTTTCTCTCCATCTCCATAACCTTAAATCAGGCTTTGTCATCTGCCTGGAGTATTGCTATAGTCTCTTTTATTCCATAGCTTTTTCATTGGTGTACCTGTCCAATATGCTCTGCCTCCTGTGATTTCTAAAACACAGATCAGATCATAATGTTACCTGTTTAAAGTCCTTCAATGGTGTTACAGTAATTTTACTAAGTAGGACGGGTTATGCATGAAGAAGCTCAGGAAGATCAAGGTTTCATGGCTGGGATGTGCTGAGGCCAGGCTAGCATATAGTCCTTATGCCCCGGAATGCACTGTTTCCTAGTCTGCTTCTTGGTTAGTAGAACAATAGTCCCCATTTTAAAAATAAAAGGCAGCTGTATTGCAAGGGAACTGGGATATTTGAGAAGAACCAGAAGAATGAGTATTGAAATTGGAACTTGGTAACTTGTACAGTCTAGATTCCCAGTAATTTTTACCTTAAGCACATGTTACTTTGTATAATTGCGTTAAGTATTTGCATTATTATACTAGATATTGTAGTTAATCTACTTTCAGGAAGTGTTCTCCTAGTGTAGAAGTTATTTCCTCTACTGCCAACATTTCCCTTTCCCTAATTCTCTTCTCTGATCACACCCATGTTTGATAGAATCAGTTGGAAATTAACCAGAAGTGATGCTTTGGTTATTTTTCACCTTTGTTACTAGATTTTAACTAGCTTAGAGATCATTTTTATCTCTCTCCCTTAGAAGTCTGGTTTTCAGGTTATGGCAGATCACAGGCCAAAACTAATAAGCAGGATGCAGTTGAGAAGGGGAGCTGCTTGGAGCTGGCAGACAGCAAATGAGAACTCAGAGAAAATATTACCAAGAACAGACTAACAGCCTGGTGTCATTTCTTTAGGGACAAATGTCTCCGTAGTACTTGTGAGCATTACCATGTTATGACATGGAACTACAATTAATAATTATAATCATGATGGTCCTGAGTCATTGGAAAAGGTTATGAATGTCCAGTATTGGCGATTAGTAAGACAGGGAAAAAGCACAGTATGGTTTTGAAAAGTTCCATGAAAAAAAAAAAAAAAGAATATTTATGGCCAAAGAGTTAAGCTGATTTTTTTCATGCCACTGATGCTTACGTAGCACATACTTCATTTTTAATTGATGCTAGATTAAAACACATTTATAGCTGCCATAATTATAGAGGCAATACAGCATAGTGGTGAGGAGCACAGCTGGACTGTGTTGGCTTCGAATTCCACTTGCTAACTGGAACCTCAGGAAAGCCACTTAACCTCTGCGTTTCCATTTCCATATATAAAATGGGGATGTCTATCCAAGGGTCACCTTACAGAGAATTACTATGAGGATTGAATAGGTTAGTGCAATAAAGCACATAGAGCCATTTAGCACATTGTAAGTACTTTGTTAAGTGGGTTTATTTCTATTTTATGATTATTATTATAGTTAGATGTAGGATTTTCACCCTTCTTTTTTTTACCTTCTTTTGTATAGGTATTTGCTTGGGGCTATAACAACTGTGGCCAGGTGGGATCAGGATCTACAGCAAATCAACCAACTCCTCGCAAAGTTACAAACTGTTTACATATTAAGCGGGTGGTAGGCATTGCCTGTGGTCAGACTTCATCCATGGCTGTTCTGGACAATGGTCAGGTGAGTTCTCTCTGCATTCCCCTTCTCTTCCCACCTCTTCTTTTAGTGAAATGTCTTTTTTTTTCATGAGGTGCTTGTATTAGATCATGGAAGGAACAATGCTTTGTTTTAATAGCTTCATTGGTAATTGACTGGTTACTGGCTGAAGGGTAACTAGAGAATGTTTGCTCCTCAGTGTGAATTTTTAAAAAAATTGATTTTAGAGAGAAGGGAGGGAAGGGGGGGGCGGAGAGAGAGAAAGAAAGAAAGAGAAAGAGAAACATCAGTGTGAAAGAGAAACATGGATTGGTTGTCTCCTGCACATGCCTCAATCAGAGATCAAAGCTGCAGCCTGGGTATGTGCCCTGACTGGGAATCAAACCCACTACCTTTTAGTGTATGGGATGATGTTCCAACTCAACTAAGCCACTCCAGCCAGGACCTCAGTGTGGATTTTTAAATTCCAAGATTTATCTGCACATATGGATGACCCACATCTAGAGCTCTTCTGATGGACATTTTTTTTTTTGTTACAGATATTTTAACTTTTTACCCCATTGGCACCTCCCACCCCACCCCACCTCCGCCCCGTCTCCGGCTTAGTTGTCCATGTCCATTGGTCATGCATACATGCATATAAGTTCCGTGGTTTATCTCTTCCCACCCCCCACCCCCCATCCCCTCCTCTGAGGGATGTCAGTCTGTGCCCTACTTCCATGTGTCTGGGTCTACTGTATTCCTCAGACTGTTATGTTCATTATATTCCGTATATAAGTGAGATCATGTGGTATTTGTGTTTTTCTGCTTGGCTTCTTTCACTTAGGATAATACTTTCCAGGTCCCTTCATGTCGTCTCAAAGGATAAGAGATCTTTCTTTCTTACTGCTGCATAGTACTCCATTGTGTATATGTACCACCACTTTTTTATACATTCGTCTACTGGTGGACACTTGGGCTGTTCCCAGATCTTAGCTATTGTAAATAGTGCTGCTATGAACATCGGGGTACATATATTCTTCCTGATTGGTGTTTCAGACTTCTTAGGGTATATTCCCAGCAGTGGGATCACTGGGTCAAATGGGAGTTCAATTTTTAATTTTTTGAGGTAGCACCATATTGTTTTCCATAGCGGCTGCACCAGTCTGCATTCCCACCAGCAGTGTATTAGCGTCCCCTTTTCTCCACACCCTCGCCAACACTTGTTGTTTGATGATTTGTTGATGGCGGCCATTCTGACAGGTGTGAGGTGATACCTCATTGTTGTTTTAATTTGCATCTCTCTGATGATTAGTGATGTTGAGCATTTCTTCATATGTCTTTTGGCCATTTGTATGTCCTGTTTGGAGCGGTGTCTATTCAGCTCCTCTGCCCATTTTTTAATTGGGTTCTTTGTCTTCCTTTTGTGGAGTTGTATGAGCACTCTATATATATGTATTGGAAATTAACCCCTTATCTGATACATCATTGGCAATGATGTTCTCCCATACAGTGGGTTGCCTTTCCATTTTGATGTTTGTTTCTTTTGCTGTGCAGAAGCTTTTTAGTTTGATGTAGTCCCATGTGTTCATTTTCTCCTTTATTTCTGTTGCCTTAGGTGATGTATCAGTGAAAATTCTGCTCCGTATGATGTCCGAAATTTTGTTGCCTACATTTTCTTCTAGAATTTTTATGGATTCACGGGTCACATTTAAGTCTTTTATCCATTTCAAGTTTATTTTTGTGTAGGGTGTAAGTTGATGGTCTAGTTTCATTTTTTTGCATGTAGCTGTCCAATTTTCCCAACACCATTTATTAAAGAGGCTGTCTTTACTCCACTGTATGGTCTTGCCGCCTTTGTCAAATATTAATTGAGCGTATTGCCTTGGGTCCATTTCTGGGTTTTCAGTTCTGTTCCACTGGTCTATATGCCTGTTCTTGTGCCAGTACCAGGCTGTTTTGGTTACAGTCGCTTTGTAGTATAACCTGATATCTGGTAATGTGATCCTACCTACTTTGTTCTTCTTTTTCAAGATTGCTGTAGCTATTCGGGGTCTTTTTTGGTTCCATATGAACTTTTGAAGTATTTGTTCTAGTTCTATGAAATATGTCGTATTTTGATGGGGATTGCATTGAATCTATAGATTGCTTTGGGTAGTATGGACATTTTAATGATGTTAATTCTTCCAATCCATGAACAAGGTATGTGCTTCCACTTTTTTATATCTTCCTCTATTTCTTTTTTCAATGACCTGTAGTTTTCTGTAAATAGGTCCTTTACTTCTTTGGTTATGTTTATTCCTAGGTATCGTAATTTTTTTGGTGCGATGGTAAATGGGATTGTTTTTTCAGTTTCTCTTTCTGTGAGTTCATCATTGGTGTACAAGAGTGCCGTCGATTTCTTGACGTTAATTTTGTATCCTGCTACTTTGCCAAATTCATTTATTAAGTCTAGTATATTTTTGATGGAGTCTATAGGGTTTTCTATGTACAATATCATGTCATCTGCAAATAATGACAGTTTCACTTCCTCCTTTCCAATTTGGATCCCTTTTATTTTTTCTTCATGTCTGATTGCTGTGGCTAAGACTTCCAGTACAATGTTAAATAAGAGTGGCGAAAGTGGACATCCCTGTCTTGTTCCTGTTCTTAATAGAAATGTTTTTAGTTTCTGTCCATTGAGTATGATGTTGATTGTAGGTCTTTCATATATGGCCTTTATTATGTCGAGATATGATCCCTCTATTCCTACATTGCTGAGCGTTTTTATCAGAAATGGATGCTGGATTTTGTCGAATGCTTTTTCAGCATCTATTGATATGATCATGTGGTTTTTATTCTTCATTTTGTTTATGTGGTGTATCACGTTTATTGATTTGCGAATATTGTACCAGCCTTGCATCCCTGGAATGAATCCCACTTGGTCATGGTGGATAATTTTTTTGATGTATTTCTGGATCCGATTTGCTAATATTTTGTTCAGGATTGGCGTCTATGTTCATCAAGGATATTGGCCTGTAGTTTTCTTTCTTTGTAGTGTCTTTTTCTGGTTTTGGAATTAGAATTATGCTGGCTTCATAGAACGTGTTTGGAAGTCTTCCTTCTTCTTGAATTTTTTGAAAGAGTTTGTGGAGAATAGGTGTTAGTTCTTTTTTAATCTTTTTTTTTTTTTTTTTTTTTTTTTTTATCCTCACCCGAGGACATTTTTCGATATTTTGTTCAGATAGAGTGAGAGGGAGAGAGAGAGAGAGAGAAATATCGACGTGAAAGCGACACATCGAGTGGTTGCCACCCACACGACCCAACCAGGGCTGGGGACAAACTGCAACCAAGATATGTGCCCTTAGCGGGAACCGAACCCGGGTCTCTCCGGACCACAGGCCAACGCTCTAACCGCTGAGCCAAACCGGCCAGGGCGGTGTTCTTTTTTGAATGTTCGGTAAAACTTCCCCGTGAAGCCATCTGGGCCTGGGCTTTTGTTTGCTGGGAGAGTCTTGATTATCTCTTCAATTTCCTTAGTTGTTATTGGTCTGTTCAAGTTTTCTCTCTCTTCTGGGAGTAGTTTTGGGAGACTGTGTGTTTCTAGAAATTTGTCCATTTCGCTTAGATTGTCGAATTTGTTGCCATATAGTTGTTCGTAGAAGTTAACGATCTTTTGTATTTCCATGGTGTTGGTTGTTACTTCTCCTCTTTCATTTCTGATTTTGTGTATTTGGGTTCTCTCTCTTTGTTTCTTGGTGAGTCTAGCTAAGGGTCCATCAATCTTGTTTATCTTTTCGAAAAACCAGCTCTTTGTTTCATTGATCCTTTGAATTGTTTTTTTGGTCTCTATGTCATTTATTTCTGCTCTGATCTTTACTATTTCCTTCCTTCTACTTGCTCTGGGGTTTTCTTTTTGTTTGCTTTCTAATTCTTTAAGTTGTGAGGTTAGACAGTCAATTAGAAATTTTTCTTGTTTTTTGAGGTAGGCCTGTAGTGCTATGAACTTCCCTCTCAGAACTGCTTTCGCTGCATCCCATAGATTTTGTGTTGTTGTGTGTTCATTTTCATTGGTTTCCAGGAATTTTTTAATTTCTTCCTTGATCTCTTCGGTGACCCATTCATGGTTTAATAACATGCTATTTAGCCTTCATGTGTTGAAATGTCTTTGTATGTTCTTGTTGCAATTGATTTCTAGTTTCATGCCATTGTGATCTGAGAAGATGCTTGATATGATTTCAATCTTCTTGAACTTGTAGAGATTTAGTTTGTGTCCTATCATGTGGTCTGTCTTTGAGAATGTCCCATGTGCACTTGAGAAGAATGTGTATTCTGTAGTTTTGGGGTGTAATTCTCTGTAGATATCTATTAAATCCATTTGGTCTAGTGCTTCATTTAGAGTCTCTGTTTCCTTGCTAATTTTTTGCCTAGAGGATCTATCCAGTGCTGTCAATGGGGTGTTGAAGTCCCCTGCTATGATTGTATTATTATCGATTTCTCCTTGGAAGTCCTCCAGAAGATTTTTAATATATTTTGGTGCTCCTATATTGGGTGCATATATGTTTATCAAGGTTATATCTTCCTGTTGGATAGATCCTTTCAATATTATATAGTGGCCTTCTTTGTCTCTAGTTATGGTCTTCATTTTGAAATCTATTTTATCAGATATGAGAATTGCTACCCTAGCTTTTTTTTGCTTTCCATTTGCTTGGAAAATTTTTTTCCATCCCTTCACTTTCAACCTATGTGAGTCTTTTGTTGAGAGGTGGGTCTCTTGTAAACAACATATAGATGAGTCATGCTTTCTTATCCAATCAGCTACTCTGTGTCTTTTTATGGGAGCATTCAATCCATTTATGTTTAAGGTGATTATTGATATGTGCTTATTTATTGCCATTTTTGTTTAGTGTGGTTCTATTTTTCTTCCCATTTCTACTGCTAATTACAGCAGTCCTTTTAACATTTCTTGGAGTGCTGGTTTGGTGCTAATGTATTCCCTTAGCCTTTTTTTGTCTGGGATGCTCTTTATTTGACCTTCTATTTTGAATGATAGCCTTGCTGGGTAGAGTAGTTTTGGATTCAGATTCTTGTTTTTCATGACTTTGATTACTTCATGCCATTCTCTTCTGGCCTGTAGTGTTTCTTGTGAGAAGTCAGCTGAGAGCCTTATGGGGTTCCCTTTGTAGGTAACCTGTTGCTTATCTCTTGCTGCTTTTAGGATTCTCTCTTTGTCTTTAATTTGTGGCATTTTAATTACTATGTGTCTTGGTGTGGGCCTGTTTGGGTTCTTCTTACTTGGGACTCTCTGTGCTTCTTGAACTTGAATGCCTTCTTCCTTCACCAAATTAGGGAAGTTTTCTCTCACTATGTTTTTTAATATATTCTCTATCCCTTGCTCCTTTTCTTCTTCTTCGTGGACTCCTATGATGCGAATATTATTACATTTCCAGTTGTCCCATAGTTCTCTTAAGCTGTCTTCCTGTTTTTTAATAGTTTTTTCCTTTTGTTTTTCTGATTGGTTGATTTTTTCTACCCTGTCTTCTAATTCACTGATCCAGTCCTCAGCTTCCTCTACTCTGCTTTTTATACCTTCCAATGTGTTTTTCATTTCTGATATGTCATTTTTTATCTCTTCTTGTTGGTTTTTAATTTCCAATTGGCTTATTTTCAGTGTCTCTTTGTTCTTACTCATGCTGTTCAGCTTCCTTAAGATCATGGCTCTGAATTCTAGCTCTGTTAACATGCCTAATTGCTCCACATTGATCTCATCTTCGGTGGAGGTCTCTTGCTCTTTCATTTGGCTTCTGTTTCTGTGTTTCACCATTTTAGCTATCACTGTGGGCTTTGGAGCCTGTCAAGTTCTCCCTGTGGGTGTTGGTGTTCTGCTGTTTGTGGCTCCCTCTCCTGTGTTTAGATGAGCGAGGGAGGACCCACGTTGTACACCACTGTCAAGTCTTACTTTCCTGGTTAAAGTTGCCAGCCCAGGAAAGGTACTGTTATCCTCTAGCTTTTTGCCTGGAGGCTAGCAGTCTAGGTTACTTGATGAGTTTTGGGTTGTCAGTTGATTGAAAAACTCCCTCTGGTGCTGAGCCAAGGGGCTTTCACGAGGGTGGGGCAGATGCTGGTTGTTAGTGAGCCTCAATTAGCACTTCAATGGCCCACAGGGTGGGGTGGGATCTCTGAGGGAGGGGCTGCTGCCTCTCCTCAGAGCCCTGGGAAGGAGCAATGTGGCCACTGTCCTGAGTGGCTGCACTCAGCCAAAGCTCTGAGCGCCCTCCAAACCCCGAGTGTCCCGACACAGTTCCAGTCCAGTCCGCCCTCCCTCCGCCGGAGCCCAAGGTGAGTGGCTGTGGCTGTTTCAGCCTCTGTCCGGGCTGCGCTGTGGGGCCGCCTGGGAGTGTGACCCGAGGGCGCTGCTCCCAGATAAGGCCGCTGCCGAGCTGCCGAGCTGCCGACCGTGGGCTCCCTGCCTCGCACCTTCGCAAGCCTACTGGGATGGAGTCAGTGTCCCTTGTTGTATGGTCCTTGTAAGCTGCTTTTCTGTTGGTTTTTCCTGTCGATTTGTCTGTGTTATAGTTGTAATTCCAGTTTGGTTCTGGGAGACGGTCTGTGTAGCTCCGTTCACTCCGCCGCCATTTTTCCTCAGGCCTTCTGATGGACATTTCAATTGTTTCTATTATTTTCTTGCTGTAAACAATGTTGTATTAATTTTCTGTGTTATTCTTTGTACACTTAGGCAAGTATTTCTATACAATAAGTTTTCAGAAATAGGATTTCTGGGTCAGAGAGTATACCATTCAAAATTTCAATGTCTGTTGCCACATTTCTCTCTCAGAAAGTTTAAGCCTGTTGCACTTCTGGTATTGAAAGTGTTTTTTTAACCATTTGTTGCTAGCACTCAAAAGTCCATGTCCCTTTTTTCCCCTCTGTCACATTGTCCTCAAAAGCCCCAGCTGCCCAGGCTGATATGGCTCAGTTGGTTGGGCATTGTCCCATACAAAGAAAGGTTGCAGGTTTGATTCTTGATCATAGCACATGCCTGGGTTGCAGGTTTGATCCCCGGTCAGGGCTTGTACGGGAAAGCAACCTATCCATATTTCTCTCTAACACTGAGCTTTCTCTCTCTCTCTCCCCACCCCCCCTTCTCCTTTCTAAAATCAATAAGCATGTCCTCGGTGAGAGTTAAAAAAAAGATGCCCCAGCCAATTCTTATTTACCCTGCATTGCCATGGGGCATGGTGCCCACCACACATTTTGGGTTTCTAATTTGAGCTAGACCCTTTGTTGTTCCTGATCAATAGTTTTTCCTATGTCCCAGACTGGCTGTTCTGAACTTTTAGCACTCCTCTCAAACCTGTATCCAGCCCTGCTACTTTCAGCCGACATCTGAGGGGCCATCACATTCTGTCACATCTTCCTCTTTTACTTATTTCTCACCCAGTGTCCTCTCTCTTGGTCCCACTGCCACTGCATTGGTTTGGACCCTCATCAGAGCTCACCTATTTGCCTATGAAAGACGAATGGTCTTCCTGCTTCTCGTACACACTCTAGTAACCCTTCATGTTGCAACCAGTGTGATCTTTCCAAAATGAAAATTTAAGCATGTTAATTTCTGTTTAGAAATATTTCAGTGAAAGACCCATAGAAGCAGTCCACTTTCTCTGGTATGTGTTTTGTTACTTTATCCCCTTGGCCCTTTCCTGTCCTTCTAGTCTTCTCACCTTCCACTAATTCGTACATGTCTAGCCAGGCCCATCTACTTGTCTTCTGAACCTGCCTCCAACACATTCTGTGCCCTCACCCTGGAGTGCCTTCACGCATCCGTCATTCAGCCCTGCCTAACTCTCCACTTTCTGGAGGTCTTTCTCCTCTCTGCTCCTATAGTGCCTGAATTCTATCTCTATTATAGCAGTTTCCACTTGGCTGCAGAACTTTTTCATAGTTCATCTTCCGTATTAAATTGTGATTAAAGACGTATTCCTAGTACCTTTCACAATATCCTGACATATGGTAGGTACTTAATAATTATTAATGAGCCTCAGCTTCCTCGTGTATAAAATAAGGATTAATGACTTGCCCAAGGTTGTCTAACTAGTAAGTTATGGAGTAGGAACTGATGCCAAATTTTGTTCATTCCCCACCCCTAAAACATCTTCTATTTGGAGATCAGTATAGGGTCACATAGAGTAGAATATGGGTGTTGGAAGTAACAAAGTATAACTGATTTATCTGTTCCCTCTTACCAGCACTTTTAAAAGCTCATTCTCTCCCTTTTTCTCTCTAAGGTATATGGCTGGGGTTACAATGGCAACGGTCAGCTAGGCTTGGGAAACAATGTCAATCAGCTGACCCCTGTGAGAGTGGCAGCTTTGCACAGCGTGTGTGTGAACCAGGTATGTGTGGTGGACTCTTAGCTGCTGGTCTCCATCTATATTCCCTTCTCTGACTTGGAGGAATATTGGAGATTTACTCTTCAATACATCTTTTTGAGTAATACTCTGTGCCTACATCTTCACATTTAATATTATATCCTCCCTAAATTCTGATGATGAGAAGGAACACCATGGTCGTGGCACATCAGTCTTGACAAGTAAAAAAAAGTGATTGGAAAAATTAAGTAGTTTCAGGTTTAGGTTTTTCTAATGCTCTTTTAATTTTCAGAGAATGTTAACCCACACCTGATGATGAATTGGCATTCTGTAGAAGCTGGCTGTAATCTTTAAGTAGATGTTTTCCCTGTCCTTCCTGTCTTCCTGTTTATGGTAACCATTTAAATTTACTTGCAGATTGTCTGCGGCTATGCACACACTCTAGCACTAACAGATGAGGGCTTGCTGTATGCCTGGGGAGCTAACACGTATGGGCAGCTGGGAACTGGCCATAAAAATAACCTGCTAAGCCCAACACACATCATGGTGGAGAAAGAAAGGTAACTTGGCTGTACTATGTCGTGGGATCGTGTGTGCATTGTGGACTTGGGGCCGTGTGTGCTGGAGCTGTGGTGTTTGGCTTTGTAACTGTTTATTAACATTCTCATTTTGAACAAAGATTTTGTGTACCAACTAGAATGAACATGAAATTCATATGATTCTTATGCAGCTTTCTAAAATAACCCCCTAATTGACAGACATTAATGCATTCTGGTATGATTCCTCCAGACTTCTTGTTGCCCATTTAGTAGGGAAGTAAAATAAGGTATAACACCATGTTGAAATTCAAAGTGAAAAAGGGTCTGTCACCATGTTGAAGTACAAACTTTTCCTTTGAGCCAACTAAAACAACTTTTAAATAAATAAAATCTGCCCTTGAAAGGACACTATCTGTTTAAATATTGATTTGATATAATGTGTGTTGCTGAAATAAATGTTTACTGTTTGTTCAGCCAAATTGCGAGGTCTTACCTATTAAGTTTTAGAATATTCACTTCTGATTCTGGGGCCCTGCCTAAGAAGCAGACTGAGAAATGTAGTAACTTTGGCTTGATGTCCATTTGGCTTCGGGTGTTCAGAGTTCATGACCAGTGCTTATCAGCCTCTAATGAGTGTTCTGAGCTGTGGTAGTGGGTGAGAGAAAAAGTTGTATTTGTAAGGAAATGGTATATTGAAGACAGTAATTTTTTAAGCCCCCAGAACTGTCAGGACATTTTGTCAGAGTTCACGTTCCTCATTTACTTTGGTTTTTAGTCCCCTTTTCCAAGTTTTGCCCAACAGTTATTGTATTTTTTATCTTAGAAAGAGGTTAGGATGAGAAATGGGGCACCCAAAAAGGGAGAAACACAGTACTCTTGCTCTGATCTTTTGCTTTTGTCTATAGGACATGATAGCTAATGTCTCTCAGTCTTGAGCTGTTTTTTGAGCTGTTCCAAACAGAAGTGACATCAATTTTTCTTAAAATTTTTCAGGGTAGTAGAGATTGCAGCCTGCCACTCTGCCCACACGTCTGCTGCCAAGACCCAGGGCGGGCACGTGTACATGTGGGGCCAGTGCCGGGGCCAGTCTGTCATCCTGCCTCACCTCACCCACCTCTCCTGCACCGACGACGTGTTTGCCTGCTTTGCCACTCCCGCGGTCTCCTGGCGCCTCCTGTCTGTAGGTAAGAAAGCTCAGGGCCACTTCCACCTGGGAAGAATGGTCCTGTCAGCTGACCAGTTTTTCTGCATATTTCCTGGTTGTGGGCATTTTTAGATTCTAGAATGTTTTATTTTCCATTAAATTTAATATCTTTCCCCAAATTAGATTTGCATAATAAAATGATATGTTATGAAGCATTATATGGATTAATTATTTTCTCCTCTTTTAAGTGCTCTCATTTTAATTGAGGTGAAATTCATATACATAAAATTAACCATTTTAAAGTGTACAATTCAGAGGCATTTAGTACATTCACAGTGTTGTGCAACCACCATTGATACCAAGTTCTAAAAATAGTTTCATCGCCCTAAAAGAAAACCCTGTACCTATTAAGCAGTCACTCCCCACCCCCTCCATGGCCAATTTGATTTTTGTTTTATGCATTTACCTATTTTGGATATTTCATATAAATGGGATAACAATATGCAACATTTGGTATCTGGCTTTTACTCAATGCTTTTGAGGTACATTCATGTTGTAGCACGTATTAGTATATCATTCCTTTTTTTTATTGTTAATTCTCACCCAAAGATATTTTTTTGTTGGTTTTTAGAAAGAGTAGAATGGAGGGAGGGAGGGGGAAGAGAGAGAGGAACATCAATGTGAGAAAAACACATCAATTTGTTGCCTTCCGCACACACCCCGACTGGGGCCAGGGATTAAACCTGCAACCCAGGTACGTGCCCTTGACCAGAAATCAGGAACCCATGACCCTCCAGTGCGTGGGCCAACACTCTAACCACTGGACCACACTGACCAGGGCAGTATTTCATTTCTTTTTATAGCTGAATAATATTCCATTGTATGTATATACCACTTTTTTTTTTTTTAATCCTCACCCGAGGATATTTTTACATTAATCAGATAGAGCTGGAGGGAAAGAGGGAGGAAGAGAGAGAGAGATAGAAACATTGATGTGAGAGAGACACATCGATTGGTTGCTACCCGCACAACCCCAACTGGGGTTGGGGACGAACCACAACCGAGCTATGTGCCCTTGGTCGGAATTGAACCTGGGACTCTTTGGTCCGCAGGTGATGCTCTTACTGCTGAGCCATACTGGCCAGGGCTATATACCACGTGTTTTTTTTTTTATCCTCAACCGAGGACATTTTTTGTTATTTTGTTCAGATAGGGCGGGGGTGGGGTGGGGTGGGGAGGAGACAGAGAGAAATATCGACGTGAAAGAGACACATCGAGTGATCGCCATCCACACGACCCAACTGGGGCTGAGGACAAACTGCAACCAAGGTATGTTCCGTTAGCGGGAAGCCAACCAGGGTCTCTCCAGACCGCAGGCCAACGCTCTAACCGCTGAGCCAAACTGGCCAGGGCTTTATACCACGTTTTATTTGTCCATTTATCTGTTGATGGATATTTGGATGGTTTCTACCTTTTGAGTATTGTGAATAATGTTGTTATGAGCATTCAGGTACAAATATTTGTTTGAGTAACCTGTTCTTAAGTACTTTTGTTGTTATACTAGATTTATTACAAAATTTAATGTAATATGAACCAAAAATGAATTTTTAAAATAGCTGAAGTACTTTTGTTGTTGTTGTTAATCCTTACCCGAGAATAATTTTTCCATGGATTTTTAGAGAGAATGGAGGGGAAGAAGGGAGTTGGGGGGCGAGGTGGAGAGAAACATTAATGTGAGAGTGACACATCAGTTGGTTGCCTCCCGCATGACCCCAGCTGGGGCCAGGGTTCACACCTGCAACCCAGGCACATGCCCTTCACTGGGAATTGAATCTGTGACACTGGTGTGTGGGCAGATGCCCTAACCACTGAGAAACACCAGCCAGCACAAGAACTTGTGGTTTTTAAGGTGATATGTTATCCTTACTTTTTTTCTCTCTTTTTCTTTCAATCAATCTCAAATAGTTTTATTTTAGAAGGTTATCAAAATAGTGGTATTATAAAGGGTGGTGGAATTTAGGGTGATTTTTGGTTACACAATCTGCCCATAATCTGAATATTGTTTTCTTTTTTTATTATCCTCACCCGAGGATATTTTTCCATTTTTTGTTCAGGTAGAGTGGGAGGGAGAGAGAGGAACAGAGAGAGAGAGAAACATCGATGTGAAAGGGACACATCGAGTGGCTGCCACCCGCACAACCAACCAGGGCCGGGGACAAACTGCAACCGAGGTACATGCCCTTAGCGGGAACTGAACCCGGGTCTCTCCGGACCGCAGGCCGATGCTCTAACCGCTGAGCCAAACCGGCCAGGGCTGAATATTGTTTTCTTTACTAGAGTTCATTATTGATCAAAAGTACTAAGATGTCATAAGGCACTCTGGCCAGTTTTGCTCAGTGGTGAGAGCTCAGTGGTGAGAGCTCAGTGGTGAGAGCTCAGTGGTGAGAGCACTGGCCTGCAGACTGAAGAGTCTCAGGGTTGATTCCCGGTCGAGGGCATACCTCAGTTGCAGGTTCCATCCCTGGCCCCTGTTGGGGTCATGTGGGAGGCAACCAGTTGCTGTGTCTCACATCTATGTTTCTCTCTCTCTCTCCCTCTCTCTCTCTCTCTCTCTCGCTCTCGCTCTTTCTCTCGCTCTCTCTCTCCCCCTCTCCTCCCACCCCTTCTCTCTCCCCCTCTCCTCCCACCCCTTCTCTCTCCCTTTCTCCCCCCTTCCTCCTTCCCACTCTATCTAAAACTCAATGGAAAAATATCCTCAGGTGAGGATTAAAAAAAAAAAAAGATGTCATAAACCTATGTAGCCGTTAAAAGATTTTAATATTTTTATTTTATTTCTTGTTCATTTCTGCCTTTTTGCCAATGTATTTCTTCTGAGTTATTCTTTTGTTAATATGAAGAGGAAATAAATAGGTCATGATGCCTCATATTTGAACATTAATGTAACTCTAAACAACCAAGGAGTTTGGGTTGCTTAGCAATTGATATTGAAGGCTAATCTTGTCATATGTGTCATACTGAGCTGTGTCAGACAGCTGGATGTGTCCCACCATCAGGTGACCAGTCTTTATGGTCTTGTAGGTAAGGGTATGTTTAAGAAGAGTTAAGCTGCTGCTCAACTTAAAGTGAAACAAATTGAACATTTTCAGATATTTTATAATAGCATTTTTTTTGTAGTGAATATTGTGATTAGAAAAAGTTAGATCATAAAAATCATAGAAGAAAACATAGGCAGTAAAATCTCAGACATTTCTTATAGTAATATTTTTTCTGATACATCACCTCAGGCAAGGAATCAAAAGAAAAAGTAAATGAATGGGACTACATCAAACAAATAATCTTTTGCATAGCAAAGGAAACCATCAACAAAATGAAAAGACAATCCAATGAATGGGAGAGCATATTTGCCAATGATACATCTGATAAAGGGTTAATATCCAAAATATATAAAGAACTTATACAGCTCAACACCAGGAAGACAAACAATCCAGTTAAGAAATGGGCAGCCCTGGCTACTATGGTTCAGTGGTTAGAGTGTTGGCCCTCACACCAAAGGGTCATGGGTTTGATTCTCTGTCCAGGGCATGTACCTGGGTTTCAGGTTCAATCCTCGGCCCTGGTCGGGGTATGTGTGGGAGGCAACCAATTGATGTTCCTCTCCCCGTCTCCGTCTCCCCTCTTCCCCTCCCTCTCTCCCTCTCTCCCTCTCTCCCCCTCTCCCTCCCTGTCTCCCCACCTCCCATCCCTCCCTTGTCTCTAAAAATCAATGGAAAAAATATTCTTGGGTAAGGATTAACAGAAAAAAAAAGAAAGAAAGAAATGGGCAAAGGACCTGAATAGACACCTCTCCAAAGAGGACATACAGATGGCCATGAGACATATGAAAAAATGCTCAGTGTCACTAATCATCAGACAGATGCAAATTAAAACTATAATGAGGTATCACCTCACACCTGCATTAGTGGCTACCATCAATAAATCAAACTACAGGTGCTGGCAGAGATGTGGAGAAAAGGGAACCCTAGTGCACTGCTGGTGGGAATGCGGAATGGTGCAGCCACTGTGGAAAACAGTATGGCATTTCCTCAAAAAGTTAAAAATAGAACTGCCTTCTGACCCAGTGATTCCACTTCCGGGAACATATTCTAAGAATCCCAAAATGCCAATCAGAAGGAATAGATGCACTCCTACGTTCACTGAAGCATTATTTATAGCCAAGATCTGGAAACAGCTTAAGTGCCCATCAGTAGATTAGTGGATAAAAGAGCTGTGGTACATTTATGAAATGGAATACTACTCTGCCATAAAAAAGGACATCTTACCCTTTGTGACAACATGGATGCCTGGAGAGCATTATGCTAAGTGAAATAAGCCAGACAGAGAAAGACAAGTACCATATGATTTCACTCATGTGTGGAATCTAATGAACAAAATAAATGAACTAAATAGAGACTAGACTGATAGCTGTCAGAGGGGAGGAAGTTTGTGGGGCTGGGTGAAAAAGGTGAAGGGATTAAACAACACAACACAACACAATACAATCACAATACAAAATACTAAAAAATACAATACAATACTAAAAAATACAATAATAAAAAATAAAATAAAATAAACAGCCCTGGCAAGTGTGCCTCAGTTGGTTGGGTGTCATTCCATGCACCAGAAGTACTGGTTTGATTCCTGGTCAAGAGCACATGCCCAGGTTGCAGGCTCAATCTCAATTGGGGGTGGGGTGCAGGAGGCAGCTGATTGATGTTGTGCTCTCACATTGATATTTCTCTCTCTCTCTCAAAATATCAAACTATTCCTTTAAAAAATACGAAAAACAAATAACCTCAAAGATACAGATAACAGTATGGTGATCACCAGGGGGAAAGAGGGTGGGAAGAGGTAGAAGAGGGTATAGAGAGATAAGTGGTAATAGAAGGAGATGACTTGGGGTGGTGAACACAATACAATATACAGATGATGTATTATAGAATTATGCACTGGAAACATATATAATTTATTAACCAATGTCATCCCAATAAATTCAGTTTAAAAAAAGAAAAATTTAGTTCACAGAATGAGACTGTTTGGCCATAATCACACATGTGTCACAGCTAAAGCACTCTGTCCATATCTTCAGATCCCACATAATACTTTACCTGGACCTGTTTATAAAAAGCTTCCCAGGTTTTTGCATCTTAAAATTATGATCCCAAAAAGGCATCCTTTTCCGAACATCCAACATTTTTTAATGTTAAGCTTGGGGAAAATGTGGTCATTGAATATATTTCTTAGATGACTTCTTTCTCTCTACATATTAATTGAGAAGTGTTTTCCTCTCAGTTTATTATCTCAACTGAGCGATAGGAAGAAAGTCAGATGGTGAATTCACACCTCAGAAGAATATTTAATCTCTGAAAGGAGTTAGTATATTTGCTGCCAGAAACCAAGAGGAGGAAAGGGTTATTTCAACCCTTACAACTAGATGCAGTAGTTGAGGCACTAATAAGAAGCTGATTTTTGGACGGATGGGGTAGCAATTTAGACTCCTGGATTCTTTGTCCATTTCAGTTCTTTCTTTTTCTTTTATTCACCTGTGATCTAGGTTATAGGGTCAGGGAAGGCCTGATTTTTGAGAGATTGTTGACTTTGCCTTTGTGGCTAAGAGAGCTCTCTGCATTGTGTGTATGTTCTGTGTCTGTAGGTTAAGGTAACGGAGCTCGGGCAAATGACAATTTCCTTGGGAGATTCTGATAATAAAGCTCATGGATAAGTTCATTTATTAAGTTTCAGCCTAGGTTTTAGCAGTTGTCCTTCCTCTAAGAATTGTCCTGGTAACACCAGGCTCCTGAGACGCATAGCTCAATTATTTCATTAAGTCATTCTTGTGGGCAGTCACAACCTGTCTCTGTCCATAGTATATTCAGTGCTGATGTAGGTCTCTGGAACTTTATTATTTCCCTGTTAGCCTTCTACTTATATTCCTTTGTCCATGCATAAAAAACACAAAGTGTTACATGGACTTGTACTTTTACTTTTCTTGACAATAACACATCTACCTACATATACCTGTAATCCTAACAGCAGTTCTCCTTCTCATCAGGCAATGAGATCATGTTTTTGTAAAACTATTTCCTTTGAGTGTACATCATTGCTAAGTAAATTTGCTCTGTTTTTAGATAGATTTGTAAGGATTATTGTTTGTACATTAATTCTTAGGGTAAGAGGGATGTTTAGATTCCAAATACCGAGGAAAAGGGGTCTCTCTGCGTAAGAACATGACTGCTTAGCATTACCACTTAATGGTGAGTTTGTTTCTTGGGACTCCTTGAGTAGAATATAGTAACCCCTTGAAACTCCCCCAAAACACAGCAGAGGTGTTCTTAGTGTTTCAGTCAAGGCAAATTGGTACGTTTTTAGCACTAGAAAATAATTACTGAAGTTTTTGAACAAGTAGTTATGTAATCATGGGATACCTATAACTTTTTCTTTAAGAAAATGCATTTTTAATGACTAACTTAGTATGTAAGACTGATTTTTGGCCTTTCCCAGTATGTAGTTTTGGTAGTTTATACACTCAGGATACTTATTTTAATACTATAAAATTGATTTGTCAAGTAAGGCATGAACTTTGAAAAAAATCAAATCCATCTGGCTAATGATTATCTTTTTGAAGTCCGTTAAATCTTGAGTATGTTTCCTGAGCTTTCTGTATTAATAATGTGTTTTTTGCCTTCAGAGCATGAAGACTTTTTAACAGTTGCAGAGTCACTGAAAAAAGAATTTGACAGTCCAGAAACTGCTGACCTAAAATTTCGAATTGATGGGAAATACATCCATGTCCATAAAGCTGTTTTGAAAATCAGGTATTTTTGCATGAGCTTGAGACATCAATAACCTCACTTTCTTTTTACATTATCTGTTCCTTTGTTATTTCATAAAATGGGGACTGTTAAGAAACAGCCTTGGCAGTAGAAAGAAATGACACAACTTAATGTTTTTGCAGAGATTATTGAAGAGATTTGCATGCATGCATTTGCACACATGTGCCTTTTGGAAAAAGCATAATATAGTATTATGAGTATTTGTCTATATTGCTTTTATTTTTCATTTATTTCTTTTATTAATTAATTTTTTTGATTTGTTTTTTTATTTTAATTTATTTGTGTTACAGATGTTTCCCCTTTTCCCCCCATTGACACTCTCCTCCCCATCCCTCCCCGCACCGTCCCCAGCTTTGTTGTCCATGTCTATTGGTTATGCATACATGCATATAATTCTATGGTTTATCTCTTCCCCCAACCCCCGTGCCCTTTTCTGAGGATTGTCTGTAACCTACTTCCATATCTCTGGGTCTACCCTTTTCCTCAGACTGTTATGTTCATTATATTCCACAAATTAGTGAGATCATGTGATATTTGTCTTTCTCTGCTTGGCTTGTTTTGCTTAGGATAATACTTTCCAGGTCCCTCCATATCATCTCAAAGGATAAGAGATCTTTCTTTCTTACAGCTGCATAGTACTCCATTGTGTATATGTACCACAGCTTTTTTATTCAGCGTCTACTGATGGACACTTGGGCTGTTTCCAGATCTTAGCTATTGTAAATAGTGCTGCTGTGAACATGGGGGTACATACATTCTTTCTGATTGGTGTTTCAGGCTTCTTAGGGTATATTCCTAGAAGTGGGATTAGTGGGTCAAATGGCAATTCAATTTTTAATTTTTTGAGGTAACACCATAGTGTTTTCCGTAGTGGCTGCACTAGTCTGCGTTCCCACCAGCAATGTATCAGAGACCCCTTTTCTCCACACCCTCGCCAACACTTGTTTGATCCTTTGTTGATGGCGGTCATTCTGAAAGGTGTGAGGTGATATCTCATTGTTGTTTTAATTTGCATCTCTCTGATGATTAGTGACATTGAGCATTTCTTCATATGTTTCTTAGCCATTTGTATGTCCTGTTTGGAGAGGTGTATATTTAGGTCCTCTGCCCATTTTTTAATTGGGTTCTTTGTTTTCCTTTTGTTGAGTTGAATGTGCACTATGTATATTTTGGAAATTAACCCCTTATTTGATGTATCATTGGCAATTATGCTCTCCCATACAGTGGATTGCCTTTCCATTTTGATGTTTGTTTCTTTTGCTGTGCAGAAGCTTTTTAGTTTGATGTAGTCCCATGTGTTCATTTTTTCCTTTGTTTCTGTTGCCTTAGGTGATGTATCAGTGAAAATTCCGCTGCGTATGATGTCTGAAATTTTGTTGCCTACATTTTCTTCTAGGATTTGTATGGATTCACAAGTCACATTCAAGTCTTTTATCCATTTTGAGTTTATTCTTGTGTAGGGTGTAAGTTGATGGTCTAGTTTCATTTTTTTTGCATGTAGCTGTCCAGTTTTCCTAACACCATTTATTTATTTATTTTTTTATCCTCACCTGAGGATATTTTTCTATTTTTTGTACAGTTAGAGTGGGAGGGAGAGAGAGGAAGGGAGAGAGAGACAGAAACATCGACGTGAAGGGACACATCGAGTGGCTGCCACCCGCACGACCAACCAGGGCCGGGGACAAACTGCAACTGAAGTACATGCCCTTAGCGGGAACTGGACCCGGGTCTCTCCGGACCGCAGGCCGACGCTCTAACCACTGAGCAAAACCGGCCAGGGCCTAACACCATTTATTAAAGAGGCTGTCTTTACTCCATTGTATGCTCTTGCCACCTTTGTTGAATATTAATTGAGCATAATGTTTTGGGCTCAATTTCTGTGTTCTCTGTTCTATTCCATTGATCTATATGTCTGTTCTTGTGCCAGTACAGGCTGTTTTGATTACAGGGGCTTTGTAGTATATCCTGATATCTGGTATTGTGATCCCGCCTACTTTGTCCTTCTTTTTCAAGATTGCTGTGGCTATTCGGGGTGTTTTTTTTTGTCCATATGAACTTTTGAAGTATTCTAGTTCTGTGAAGTGTCATTGGTATTTTGATGGGGATTGCACTGAATCTATAGATTGCTTTGTGTAGTATGGGCATTTTAATGATGTTAATTCTTCCAATCCATGAACAAGGTATGTGCTTCCACTTTTTTATATCTTCCTCTATTTCTTTTTTCAATGTTCTGTAGTTTTCTGCAAATAGGTTCTTTACTTCTTTGGTTAAGTTTATTTCTAGGTATCTTAATTTTTTTGCCGCAATGGTAAATGAGATTTTCTTAGTTTCTCTTTCTATGAGTTTATCATTGGTGTATAAGAATGCCATTGATTTCTTGACGTTAATTTTGTATCCTGCCACTTTGCCAAATTCATTTATTAAGTCTAGTAAATTTTTGATGGAGTCTTTGGGGTTTTCTGCATATAGTATCATGTCATCTGCTAATAATGACAGTTTCACTTTCTCCTTTCCAATTTGGATCCCTTTTATTTTTTCTTCCTGTCTGATTGCTGTGGCGAAGACTTCCAGTACTATGTTAAATAAGAGTGGCAAAAGTGAGCATCCCTGTCTTGTTTCTGTTCTTAAGGGACATTCTTTTAGTTTTTGCCCATTGAGTATGATGCTGCCTGTAGGTCTTTCATATATGGCCTTTATTATGTTGAGATAAGATCCCTCTATTCCCAAATTATTGAGCGTTTTTATCAGAAATGGGCACTGGATTTTGTTGAATGCTTTTTCAGCATCTATTGATATGATCATATAGTTTTTATCTTTCATTTTGTTTATGTGGTGTATCACATTTACTGATTTGTGAATATTGTACCAGCCTTGCATCCCTGGGATGAATCCCACTTGGTCATGGTAAATAATGTTTTTAATATATTGCTGCATCTGATTTGCTAGTATTTTAAGGATTTTGTCATCTATGTTCATCAGGGATATTGGCCTGTAGTTTTCTTTTTTTGTAGTGTCTTTTTTTCTGTTTTGGAATTTGAATTATGCTGGCCTTATAAAACAAGTTTGGAAGTGTTCTATCTTCTTGATTTTTTGGAATAGTTTGAGGAAAATGGGTGTTAATTCTTCTTTGAATGTTCAGTAAAACACCCTGTGGAGCCATCCAGGCCCAGGCTTTTGTTTGCTGGGAGTTTCTTGATTACATCTTCAATTTCCTTAGTTATTATTGGTCTGTTCAAGTTTTCTATCTCTTCCTGGTTCAGTTTTGGGAGACCGTGTGACTTTAGAAATTTGTCCATTTTGCCTAGATTGTCCTAATTTGTTGTTCATAGTAATTCTTTATAGTATTTGTTATTGATTTTTTTGTATAACAACTGCAGTTTCAGTCGTTACCTCTCTTTCTTTCTGACATTGTTTATTTAGGTCCTCTCTTTTTTTTTTCTTGGTGAGTCTGGCTAAGGGTCCATCAATATTTTGTATCTTTTCAAAGAACAAGCTCTTTGTTTCATTGATGCTTTGAATTGTTTTTTTACTCTCTATGTCATTTATTTCTGCTCTCATTTTTACTATTTATTTCTACTTGCTCTGGGTTTTTCTTTTTTGTTTACTTTCTAGTTCTTTCAGTTGTAGGGTTAGATAGTTAATTAGAACTTTTTTCTTGTTTCTTGAGATAGGCCAGTAGTGCTATGAACTTCCCTCTCAGGACTGCTTTTGCTGCGTCCTATAGATTTTCTGTTGTTGTGTGTTCGTTTTCATTGATTTCCAGAAAGTTTTTAATTTCTTCCTTGATCTCTTTGTTATCCCATTCATCATTTAATAACATTCTATTTAGCCTCCTTGTTTTTGAATGTTTTTCAGTGTTTTTATTGTAATTGATTTCTAGTTTCATGACATTGTGACCTGAGAAGATGCTTGATATGATTTCATTCTTGAATTTGTAAAGACTTAGTTTGTGTCCTAACTGTAAGGAATCGGGGGCGCCGCCAAAAAACTGAGAAGAGACTGGCGAGCCAATCAGCCGAATAAACAGGGATCATGCTTTATTGGGTACACTCCGGGCGGGTTCACAGACTCGGGGGGTCAAGTCCTAGAAGCTGCGCCCGATGCTGGGGTTTGTGCTTTTTTATATCTGCCTGTTGCAGCTGAGATTTGTCTGTTAGGGTTTGACCTTGCGGGGGCTATGCATGGGAGCCTCTGGAATGTGAGTCGATAAGAGCAGGATGGGAGTTAGCCTACAAGCTCGGGGCAGGCCGTTCCCGGAGCAGGGTGGGAGGCAAGGTTGAGCAAGCGAAACAATGGTCGAGCAGTTTGCCTGGTGCCAGTTCCCAGGCTATCGGACACTAACATGTGGTCTATCTTTGAGAATGTCCTATATGTACTTAATATGAATGTGAAATCTGCACTTTTGGGATGTAATTCTCTGTAGGTATTTATTAAATTCATTTGATCTAGTGCATTATTTAGAGTCCCTGTTTCCTTGCTGTATTTTTGTTGAGAGGATCTATCCAGTGATGTCAGTGGGGTGTTGAAGTCCCCTGCTATGATTGTATTGCTGTCGATTTCTCTTTTGAAGTCCTCCAGACATTTTAAAATCTATTTTTGTCCTCTTATATTGGGTGCATCTATGTTTACCAAGGTTATATCCTCCTGTTGGATAGATCCTTTCAATATTATGTATTAGCCTTCTTTGTCTCTAGTCATAGCTTTAATTTTGAAGTCTGTTTTATTGGATATGAGTATTGCTACCCCAGCTGTTTTTTCCTTTCCGTTTGCTTGAAGATTTTTTTTCCATCTCTGCTTTCAACCTATGTGAGGCTTTTGTTGAGAGGTGAGTCTCTTTGTAAACAACATATATGTGAGTCATGCTTTCTTATCCATTCAGCTACTCTGTCTTTTGATTTGAGCATTTAATCCATTTACATTTAGGTTATTACTGATATGTATTTATTTATTTCAATTTTTGTTCATTATCATTATGTTTCTCTTCCTATTTCTTCTGATTATTACAACAGTCATTTTAACATTTCTTGGAGTGCTGGTTTGGTGCTAATATATTCCCTTAGCCTTTTTTTTTTGTCTGGTAAGCTCTTTATTTGACCTTCTATTTTGAAAGATAGCCTTGCTGGATAGAGTAATTTTGGATTCAGATCCGTTTTTTTTAATTACCTTGATTTCTTCATGCCATTCCCTTCTGGCCTGCAGTGTTTCTGTTGAGTAGTAGGTAACTTGTTGCTTATCTTTTGCTGCCTTTAGGCTTCTCTGTTTGTGTTTAATTTTTGGCATTTTAATTACTAGGTGTCTTGGTGTGGGCCTGTTTGGGTTCTTTTTATTTGGAGCTCTCTGTGCTTCTTGAACTTGTATGCCATTTTCCTTCACCAAGTTAGGGTAGTTTTCTGTCACTATTTCTTCAAATATATTCTGTAACCCTTGCTCATTTTCCTCTTCTTCTGAAATTCCTATGATGCGGATGTTGTTATGTTTCATATTGTCCCACAGTTCTCTTAAGCTGTCTTTCTGTTTTTTAATTATTTCTTCTTTTTGGTTCTCTGATTGGGTGATTAATTTCTACCCTGTCTTTTAATTCACTGATCAGGTCCTCAGCTTTCTCTACTCTGCTGGCTATTCCTTCCATTGTGTTCTTTATTTCCACTATGTCATTCTTTATTTTTGCTTGGTGGTTTTTCATTTCCAGTTGTTTGTTTTTTGATATTTTTGTATCTTTACTGATGCTGTTGAGCTCTTTACTCATGCTGTTAAGCTTCCTCATAATCATTACTTTGAACTCTAGCTCTGATATCTTGCTTAATTCCATTTTATTTATCTCTTCTGTAGAATTCTCTTGTTCTTTCCTTTGGGATGTGTTTCTTTGTTTCACCATTTTGGCTGTCTCAGTGTGTTTTGGAGCCTGCCAGCTTTTCCCTGTGGGTGTTGGTGTTCTGCTGATAGTGGCTTTCTCTATTGGGTTTAGATCAGTGTGGGAGGACCCATGTTAAACACCACTGTCAAGTCTTACTTTCCTGGGTGGATTTGCTGACCAAGCAAAGATTCAGTTATCCTCTAGCTTTTGCCTGCAATCTATTTTTCTTAGTTACTTGATGAGTCTCGGGTGTTAACCCTCAGCTGAATGAAAAATCCTCAGGTGTACCGGGTAAGAAAATTTTTCACGGGCGGGGCAAAAGCTTTTTCCCCCACTCCTTGTTTGCTGGTAGTCGCCAGCTGTTAATGAGCCTCAATTTGCATTTCTCTGGCCTTGCCTGGTGGTGTTAAATTCCTGAGGGATTGGCCATTGCTTCTCCCCATGGCTCTGGGAAGAGGCTCTTTGAGTAAGATGGCTACTGTCCTGTCCTGTGAGGGAGTGATTCAACATACAACTCCCAGTGTCCTTCCCAGCTCTCCCCCCCTGGGCCACGAACCCCTACTTCTCTTCACACAGTTCCAGTCCAGTCCTCCCTCCGTCTGCTAGAGTCTAAGGTGAGTGGCTGTAGCTGATTTAGTGCTCTGGCCCTTCAGGGAAGTACCGTTTTTTCCCCTGTGCCTGTCCTTTCCGGTCAAAGCTTCAGCTCCAGTGATCTCAGCCAGGTGTTACACGGGTGCCTTTCCCTGTCCCACCACTCTGTGCTGTGGGGCTGGCTTGGGGTTTTAACACCTGACTTCTCAGATGGAACTGCTCACAGCTAAATCAACCCTCAGCTGCTGTCCATGGGCCAGCTCCGTTTGGTGTCATCTTTCTGTCCCTGGTTATAAGGTTTTTCTCCAGCTGCTTTTCAGTTGGTCTTTCCCTCTGATTTGTCTTTATTTTAGTTGTAGTTCCAGTTTGGTCCTGGGAGATGGTCTGTGTAGCTTTCATTCACTCTGCCACCATTTTTTTCTCCATCATTTGTCTATATTGTTTTTAAATGAAGGATCTTGTGAATATTTATTTTCATCAAAAAACTTATTTGGGTCCTGGCTGGTTTCACTCAGTGGTTAGAGCTTTGGCCCAAGGACCGAAGGGTCTCAAGTTTGATTTCTGGTCAAGGGCATGTACTTGGGTTCCTGTAACCCACTGCTCCAGTCAGTGCACATATGGGAGACAGCCAGTCAATGTCGTTCTCTTTCTCTCCCTCCCTTCCTTCCTCCCTTCCACTCTCTCTAAAAATCAGTGGAAAAAATACCCTCATGTGATGATTAACAAACAAACAGACTAAAAAACAAAACTTATTTACATGGTCAAAAGAAACCCCACAAAAAATTGTCAGGGAAATGTGTAAATATGCCCCCTTTTGCTTTTAATTAAAAATTCTTTTTTCTCAAGCAGAAAACTCATAGTCAGGAATACTGTTCTTCTGGCCTGAGGGTCATCTAAATCCCAATTAAAGCAGTGTTCTTTAGTTATATATCTGGAGGTCTTGTATACATGTGAGGTAACTTTGTGTTTATGAGCAACTGTTTGGACTGGTGCTCGCTGAGGCTGCTCTTACAGAGGAAGAGGCACAGAAAGTCAGTCCACTAAGAATTAAACTGACCAGTTACAAGTCTTTTTGTAAATTTAGTTAAAAACCTGTTTATTAAATAACATGTTTAAGGGAATTGAAAAACCTATATGTCATTCATTACTTAAGGGATAAACATTTGCACCAAAGTACTAATTGAAAGATGTACTGGAAATGTTTGTCTGTGATCCTGTGGACAGTCAGTCTATTCCTTTCATGTGCAGTTTTCTGAACCATTTTATGTATTATTCCTCGCTTAGAGACCAGTTTGTTTTTACTTCTCAGATGAAATAATTTCTTAGGTAAGTGCAACCATTCTTTTAGTATTCTGAAATAGATTTTGAAAAAAAATTGTTTTTAACAGAATTTTATTCAGGACATCTGTAAAGCAGACAGGCTGAGTCCAAATGGCCTAAGCCAGAAATATTTTTTGTACATTTATACTGTATCTCATTTTAAAAGGATTTACAAAGATGAGTTTTTTGAACCTATAGAGTATGTTATACTTTAAGAAAATTTAATACTCAGAAATCAGTTCATCATACAGGTGGACTTGTACATGTTAATACAATACAACAAGACCCACATAGGTTTTCTTGAAATAGGTGACTATCCTAGTGAATGTGTTTTATAAGTAAATTGGTAACCGGCTTAGAAGGAGAGGAGAGGGTTAGGGTAAAGCAAAGAAATAAAAAGGAGTGGTGACCATTTTGAAAATGAGTTCGAAAGAGAAGGGACATTGTCATGTAGGTAATGGAACAATAATCAGTGTAACTGCAGCCCAGTTAACATGTAAAATAGTTTTAAGAATATGCTGATTACATAAAACAGTAAAAAACAAATTAATCATTTAAAAGTGTTCCTTTATAAGTGATAAGTTTTAACTCTCATTTTTAAATTTCTTTTAATTTTATTGTTTAAAGTGCATTTCTGTACATCTCTCTCTTTCTTTTTAATCCTCACCCGAGGATATTTTTATTTATTTATCTGCAGATAGAGTGGGAGGGAGATAGAGGAAGAAAGGGAGAGAAAGAGAAACATCGATGTGAGAGGGACACATCGACTGGTTGGCTCCCGCATGATCCCAACCAGGGCCAGGGACGAACCACAACGGAGGTATGTGCCCTTGGCTGGAATCGAACCCGCGACTCAGTGGTCTGCGGATGCTCTGCCACTGAGCCAGATTGGCCAGGCATTTCTGTAGATCTCTTAAAACAATGAGCAAGATGTCTTGATAGGAATGGTGGACTGTCAAATGGAAACAATGGCACTTCAGAAGTGCTAGGTACTCCATGGCTCTACCTGTAATTCTTCATATTTCATAGGTACTCGTCAGAAATGAAAGCGATGCCCTGTCTGGGTGGCTCAGCTGGTTGGAGCATCGTCCCATACATTAAAAGGTTGTGGGTTCACTCCCTGGTTGGGGCACATACAGGGGAGGCAACTAATGGATGTTTCTCCCTTCCTCTCTCTCTAAAAGTCAATAAAAATATATCTTCGGGTGAGGATTTAAAATAATGAAAATGAGTGTACAAAAAAGGCAATGTTTTTTTAGGGTACTAGCTAAATATTCATGATCCTGATGTTGCAAGCCCAAATATAGTAGTTAAAGATACCTATAATATTTGTTTATCTGATTCTATCAACTGAATTGACTTTTGCTGTTCTGTTTTAGGTGTGAGCACTTTCGATCCATGTTCCAGTCGTATTGGAATGAGGATGTGAAAGAAGTGATAGAAATAGACCAATTCTCTTACCCAGTGTACCGTGCCTTTCTGCAGTTCCTCTACACAGACACAGTGGAGCTGCCACCTGAAGATGCTATAGGTACCTCAGCCACACCAAGACTGGCCAGATCACAAGGCCAGAAATGTGTCCTCATCTTCTTGAAATATGAAAAGTTTCAGGTTCATTGGCTTTTATTTGGTTTAAAAAATATTTGAAGCAAATATTAAAAAAAATAATATTGTATAGTTATGATTAATAATTATGGATATAGTTTATGACTGGACTTAATTTTAATTTTTTAATACTGAAGTATAATTTAATTTGATATTGGATTTAAAACTTTTTTTTTATCCTCATCCGAGGACATTTTTGCATTTATCTTCAGAGTGGGAAGGAGAGAGGGGCGTAGAGAGAGAGGAACACCGATGTGAGAGACACATCAACTGGTTGCCACCCACATGACCCAACCAGGGCTGGGGACAAACTGCAACCGGGGTACATGCCCCTAGCGGGAACTGAACCCAGGACTCTCTGGTCCGCGGGCCGACGCTCTAACCACTGAACAAAACTGGCCAGGACTGCTATTGGATTTAGCATGTCATTTTGGAAACAAAATGAGGGGGAAATTTCATGTTTGCCTTCCTTTGTACCATACAAGAAATTGTGTAAAGTGAGTCTAGGAAAGGTATGTTTGGAAGGTCAGGGAGGTAGGGAGTAACCAAAACTTACTTAATAAAACTGAGTATTATCCATTTAGAAACTTCTGCTGATTTACCTACATAACTCTGCACCAAAATTAAATGTGTGTGTGTGTGTGCATACATATATGTATAAATTATGGGAAATTACCATAAGCTTTATTAAAACTTCTATACTTTTAATGTTTAGGTCTTTTGGATTTGGCAACATCTTACTGTGAAAACAGACTGAAAAAGCTTTGTCAGCACATTATCAAGCGAGGAATCACTGTGGAGAATGCTTTTTCATTATTCTCTGCTGCGGTCAGATACGATGCAGAGGTAACGTAAAACACAAACTCAAACCGCCCTAAGCTCCCTGGGTGCTCCTTTCCTTTTCTCACTTCGACAAGGACCATGATGAGTAACTTCCCATCTGTTTGGGAAATCAGTGAAGTGACTGGTCCCTGAATAGTGAAGTCTGGCCTCCTTTCTTTATTCTCTGTTCTCAAATCGTTATTCCTCTACTTTCCTTTAAAAAAAATTTTTTTTGGGGTATGTGCCCCTAGCAGGAACCGAACCTGGGACTTCCTGGTCTGCAGGCCAACGCTCCAACCACTGAGCCAAACCGGCCAGGGTTCTACTTTCCTTTTTAACTAAGATGAGAAACTGAGGTCTCAGCAGCTGTTCTGCAAATTGGAATATAAAGTGCACACCTAATTGGACTAACAAACCATATACTTTAGTTCAAGTATTTCTCAAGGTCAGCATCTATTTTTTTTCAAGACCCACTTTGCTGTCGCTCTATTCTACCCTGTCATAAGCCAAGGCTACTGTATAATTTATATCTGTGTATTCTCTGAAATTGTCATTGTCTAATTACAATACAGTTATTCATGTGAAGAACTTGCTCTGGACGCCTTTTTGTTTGTTTTGCACTGGATTGAATTCTTAATTTTGGGATTCATGGATCTCTAGAGAGTCTGTGAATGAAAGCGCTTTTGGGAGTCTGAAATTTTTTGTTTATGTGCGTTGTCTTGAAGTTAAGAACCAAAGCATCATCAGATTGTAAGCTCCTCACGAGCAGAAACTGGATCTTATTCATCTGTGTACCCTGTGGTGCCTGGCACGTAGTAGGCCCTGGATGATAAGTGTTTGTCGAACCACCTGAAGGGAGCTGTAGGCATACTTGGTGAACAAAAGGCTGGTAAGGTTGCTTTTAAAAATTCATAGGGAATGAAAGGTAGAGAGCAATAGCTTTGGAGTTCAAGATGTTTAAGATATCCACCCTAACTGGCTTAGTTTGTCTAGTCTTATAAGTATTTTGTCATCATATTATGAGACAGGCTACTTGGTATCAGGGAATTTACCAAACACTTGCAAAGATCTGCAGCTGTGGCCTTGGGGATGTGATGGAGGACAGACTTTATCTTTATCACACTTAGGGATCAGAGTGGACCATTATATCTCATATTTTCAAAATATCCTATTTTTATTTGAGATTATATTATGATTATAAATATTTGATAAGGTTAAATATAGCTTACTTTCTCTGCAGCCCTTCCAGCAGATGAAATACCGATCAAAGGATATTTCTAATATAAAATGGAAGTATAGTTTTTTTCCCCTATCCTTTTTTTGATACTAGAAGCTTCTTTATTAGAAATGCTGTTTCCTTAGATTTAATTTCCACCTGATGATGTAATTTTTTTTTATTTATTTTTTTATCCTCATCCGAGGACATTTTTCCATTTTTTGTACAGACAGAGTGGGAGGGAGAGAGAGAGAGAGAGGGAAACATCGATGTGAAAGGGACACATCGAGTGGCTGCCACCCGCACAACCAACCAGGGCCGGGGACAAACTGCAACCGAGGTACATGTCCTTAGCGGGAACCGAACCCGGGTCTCTCGGGACCGCAGGCGGACGCTCTAACCGCCAAGCCAAACCGGCCAGGGCTGATGATGTAATTTTAAATTGGCCAGTGCCTTTTCTCTCTGTTTGGTGATTGATTTTAGAATCTTGTGTGTGTCTCTTCATACTTCTCCTCATTGCTAGTGAGTTCTATACTTTTGGGGTGGGATCTTGCAGAGTAACATCACCTGGACAGAGGCAAACATCTCGGCTCTGGTTGAAATTTCTTCCTCACTTGTAGCTAATATGTATCCCAGAAAGTTTACAGAAAAGTCTTTTTTTTTTTTTTTTTTTTTTTTGGTATGTGCCCCTAATGGGAACCAAACCCGGGACTCTGGTCCGTAGGCCGACACTCCAACCGCTGAGCCAAACCGGCCAGGGCCAGAAAAGTCTTATGTCAGCTGATCATTTCCTTGACTAGTTTTTATTTTTATATATTAAATATAAACACATTAAAAACAAAACCCATTACTTGAAACCACAGATGCATGTGATCTCTCAGCGTCTGTCATGGTATGGGCATGTAGTTGGTATTCAAAAATATACGTCGAGTTGAATCAATGGATATATTGAAACACCTTATCATGAAGGTATACTTATTAAAAACATTAAAAAAAACCTATTAATACAACACATTCAATATAGAAAAATTATAAATAGAAGACAAATATAAAAGGAATCACTTTTGAGGCTCTTTTTGTTCTGATAGGAGTTATATAGTTGACTAATGTACTTTTATATTTTATTTCCTTAATCCTATTTAATGTAGTATGTGAATAAATAATGTCTTTAAAATATAAAAATGAAACCCACTATATCTTTTAGCATATGGGAAGCTACTACTAAGCCAGTTAAAATTAACTGCAAAACCTTTTATTTTCAGAAGCTCAACTTGGGGATACTAGATGACTCTGCCTTCGTTCTGTGGGTTGAAATGCTGGGAAATTGGAGACTACCTGCTTCTCATGTTTCTTTCCTTTTCTGTGAAAGTTATTATTCCTCTATACTCTCTTGACAAGATAATTTTGAAGCAGATATGCAGATGTAAAAGCAATAAAAAGACTCGATACTTATGAAGACTTTGGGAAATAAGCTAATTGTTGCGGAGCCCTTGCATTATGAATGCATTGTCAAACTTTCTTTCAATTTTAACAAAGTAAAGGGGCTCGGAGAAGGAGCATTTAAATATTCCTCTAGCACAAATCTGAATAAATACTGACATCAAGGGAGAACATAAGTAAAACATTGTCTCCAGATCATTCTGTGTAATATTATAAAAAGTTTGAAATGCTTCTGTTTATACTGTTTCAAGAAATTTTTATATACACAAACACACACATATATATGTGTACACACACACACACACACACACACACACACATCTATTATTTTAATAGACTGTGGGACTTAGGAAGGAAACAGCAAAATTAGTTAGCAGTCTATTGTAATCCACTTGAGAGATGATGAACGGCAGATGGCTTGGATGGAATTTCTATGTATATTTGAACTTTAGGAGAAACAGTTGGGAAGTATTATTTGTTTAATCAGATTAGAGAACTTTCCAGAAAATCCTACTTGCTGAGCAACTTAAGTCCTAGAACTTTGTTTTCATTGGGAAGCCATAAACATGAGCCCAGAAATGTAATTCCAAAATTGGTTTGGGATGTGAGTATTGGAAAACTTCCTGCTCAGGTCAGATCATCAGCATTCTTTTTTCCTTCTTTCTTAGGGCCAAATTAAGAGTTTTCTATGATTAGTAGACTGTAAAATATTTTTGGGTAATGAGAGAAAGCATCTTTATTTTTTTAATTTGGTAAGATATTTAAATACATTCTAAAAAAAATAAAACTTCAATCTGGAATATTTTATACTTGATGTGTTATAAAATGAATTCTAGACTTACAGGTTTGGGGGGTTTGTTTTTACAATTATTTTAACAGTAAGTTTGGACAGAGTTCCTTGTAGTTTCCCATCGTTTGCCATCTGAGTGTGTCTCCAGGCGGCTTGTGACTGTGGCCACGTGGCCTTCCACAGGAGCTCTTGGCATTCAGCTGTTTTAGTTTTGGGATTTTTGGACTTCATTACTCAGTTAAGTGCATTTGCATTTTTAAAATGTTAATATTAAGCCTTGGTCGGGTTGCTTAGTTGATCATCCCAGGTCAGGGCACATACAAAAATCAACCAATGAGTGCATAAACGGTGGAACAACAAATCGATGTTTCTCTCTCTGTTTCTCTGTCTTCCTCTCTCTCTAAAATCATGAACGTTAAAAAAATTGTTGATATTAAGACCATCAGTTTTCTTGTTTTGTCACTAAAGAAAATCTGTGGAAAGGGAAGAGTAACAACTTGCTTTCAAGAGTATGTATAGTGACTGAAGTAATTCAAATGTTTAAAAAATTGGAATGAAATTATTTCACTTCAGCATTTTTAAATTTTGGTCTTTCTTGCTAATTACAACAAATCTGATATTTTATGCTATTTGCTTCAGAACCCCTTTATAATAATTCACCGCAAAATAGAAACATGGACTTCAGTTTCTAAATTCCAGCAATACTGTGTTAGACCTTGAATCTCCCACTTCCCTGTATTACAGTGGGCCTTGAGAAACTTTCATTCTATCATGAATCTTACTCATCTATTTGTCAAGTGATCATTCTTGTCCTTCTTGAAAACATTTTAATTAAGGTCCAGCAGTTCTGTTATAGTTGACGTTATTGATTGTATAAGAGTTGTACTTTCTTTTCTAGGCAGTTGAAGATCTGGTTATTTGCAGAATGAGGTGAACAGATGATGTAGGTTCTTGTACTATTTAAGAATTATAGCCCTGGCTGGCTTGGCTCAGCGGTTGGAGCATCAGCCTGCAGACCAGAGAGACCAGGGTTCGGTTCCCGTGAAGGGCATGTGCCTTGGTAATGGTTTGTCTCTGCCCCAGTTGGGATCGTGTGGGTGGCGGCCATTTGATGTGTCTCTTTCACATTGATGTTTCTCTCTCTCTCTTCCTGCCCCTCTCCTTCCCGCTCTATCTGGAGATAAATGCAAAAGTGTCCTCAGGTGAGGATAAAAAAATAAAATAAAATAAATAAATAAAATTTCTGTTCTTCAAAAAACTCCTTTAAACAACAAAAAAAAGAGAATTACCAGAGGATGTTTATCTAATTCATACATCAAAGGCAAACTGGTATAGGGAATTGGTTGCTCAGTGAATCGGCTTGGCTGTGCCACTCTGATTCATGCAAATGAACGTGCAGATTTCAGCTTCCGGCTCTCCAAATACATACATAGATCTGCCTTCACCAAGGTTCAAGTAGTTACTTAAACAGATAATGTCTACCATTGCCTAGTTAGACTTTTTTTGTTGTTGTAAATCCGCACTCGAGGATATTTTTTCATTGGTTTTTAGATAGAGTGGAAGGGAAGGAGGGTAAGA